AAAGGGTTTACAAAATAACCAAATTTCTCTTGGATCAACTTTGCCCGAGAGAGTTTCACCCACGTCTCTTACGTGTCCTTAGTGTTCTTCGACTTCGTACCTTTATTTTTGCCTTAGTGTACTTTTGTGATTCGAGCGTCACTGATGAGTCTTTAGTAGATGAAAAGCTCGTCTAGCGTACAATATTGTAATCCTGGTATCTATGACTTTTTTCACAGATGACGACGGATATGTTCCTATGGTCATAACCACAGTCCCGTCCCTTTTCTCCGAATTAGACTTATACCGAATTTGTGCTTGCATGAGCAACACGACGGGTGCCACATGTGGAGCAGGATCTGCTACCCTTCCGGAGCATCGCCTCCGGTTTTTGGTTAGGTTCGTGTTGTTTAGTCTTTGGTTTTCTATGTTATGTTTTGTATACTGTTGCTTGATTTTTGGTCCTTTTCATTTTTTGCCATGGCGTTGTCAGTTTTTTTTCTACTTATGAGTTTGAATGTTCCTTTGGTATCTTTCGCCTCTCGTTTATAAGACATATCAGGGTATTAAATATCACTGTTCTCTTAACTTCATATTTAAATGTGATAGTAACAAAAAACTTTCAATAAGTGTGATTTTCCAAGTATTTATTTGTTCCACAAACCATCGCAATAAAAATTTACTGTTTTATTATTCTGGGACTCACCAATTACCTTTTTGTTGTTTTAAAACATAATACACCATGTTAAACAAATGTGTAATATGATGATTGCTTGATTGTTGGTTGCTTAGCGTTCAGTGGCAAATATAATGATAGGTTTTATCCTTCTAAGATATCAATGTAAAAACATTTTAAAACATTTCGCCTCGTAGTTAAAGATTTTTATCGCGAAATTTGGCCAATTAAAAGAGGATTACCTCTGCCAGCCATTTTTACTCATTAAATCGGAACCAAATAAAGATGCTTATATCTGGGACATAATATATTGTATACTATTCTCAGTTAATATCGAGGATATTGTCAGATCAGTAGTGCTTTTGTATTGACTTGATTGAACAAATCTTTTTTAAAATTGTCCCTTTGACCCTAGAAGGAAAATGTCTAATTTTTAGCTCCCTTATGGTGATAAAGCTCTTAATTTCTACTTTTTTAAATTTTATTAATACTCATCTTTTTCATAAACTTTAAATTGTCCAGGAAAGTATCTGATCAAGGATATTGTATAAACATGTGTCTTGCGCTATTCAAAAGTATCGTAAACGAGGAAGAGGGTATATACAATAGGTTCATTCTACATGCCACATCAGAACATGGAAGATATCAAAGAATTAGATAAATCATTAGACCAGATTTCAAACAAAAACCCAACCATCATACTAACTGGAGATTTCTACTGCCCAGACATAAACTGGAATACTATGTCTGTACACCAAAATGCGCAAGACAAGGAAATTCAGAGCATTAATGGAAGTAATCATATCACACTCAACAACACAGATACACGAGACACCAACAAGAGTCAATAACCTACTGGACATAGTGCTGACTACAAACCCGTCACTTATCAAAACATCTACAAATGCTCCAGGAATATCTGACCATGATATGATTGTAACAGATTGTGACAGATTGTGACACAAAACCACATTACCAGAGTAAGAAGCCACGCAAATGCTACAAATACTCAAAAGCAAAATGGGAAGATATAAATAAAGACCTGACTATACTTTCGACCAACATCACTAACATTTATCATACAGGTGCCACAGTACAGGAATTATGGGAAAAGTTCAAAAAAGACATTTATACAAACCTTGACAACCATATACCATCAAAACTCATCCGCTCAAAAACCAGTCTACCTTGGATAAATCATAAAATCAGGAAAATGTTTAAGAAGAAAACAAGACTATACCAACAGGCAAAGAAAACTAAGAACTGGACAAACTATAGACATTTTCAAAAAGAATGTAAGAGGCAAATCAGGAAAGCTGAATGTGGCTAGAAAACAACAACTTAAAACCCTTCTGGAAATATGTAAAATCAAGAAACCAAGATAATATAGGATCAGTACCCCTTAAAAGCAACGGCCAAAGGAATAGCACCCCTTAAAAGCAACGGCCACCTAGTTAACGACAGCAAAGGGAAAGCAGAACTACTGATAAAACAATTCAGCTCAGTATTTACAAGAGATAATGACAAATCAGTCAAAAACTCCCTAGTTTTAAAAAAAAAATTATGATATGACATTGAGTTCTGGAACATTATTCTTTGAAAAAGCTACTGGCGTATCATGCGCTCATGGCACAGCTCTTTATTTATATTATTCCCCCCTCCCTCTACTGTTAAATCAGAAATTATTGCGTGCATTTATCAATGCAATGTTTGAAGAGTGGAAAAAAATGGGGAATGTCTGAACACTTGTAACAGTTATGGATAAGAAACACTTGATTTAACACTAGTGACTGTGGGTTTTACTAAGAATATTTATATTGACCTTCAAGAAATAGTCAAGAACAGAAAACTAGAGGCTCTCAAGAGCCTGTGTCGCTCACCTGATTCTACTTTGGTTTTGGAAATCATGTAAAAATAGATTAAAATCATAACAGATACCCTAATAATGAGTGAGGCCAAATTTGGTTTAATATTGGTCCTGTAATTTAATAAAAAATCCTGGTGGCCATCTTGAACAGTAAATCGGCAACAAAGTAGCAACACTTAATCAGCACCTCATAAGAAACATTTATGCCATGTTTTGGTTTCATTCCATTCAGTGCACCTCTAGAAGAAGCATTTGTATGTATTTCCCATAGGGTCTTATGTTAAAGGAAGTCCCCCCATTGGCGGCCATCATGAATGAAGGATCAGCTTCAAAGTAACAAAACTTAGTCAGCACCTCATAAGGAACATTCATGCCATGTTTGGTTTCAATCCATTCAGTATGCGGTTCTCTAAAAGAAGACATTTGTATGTTTTGTCCAAAGGGTCCTTTGTTAAACATTGTCCCCATCTGGCAGCCATCATGGATGAAGGATCAGCTTCAAAGTAACAACACTTGGTCAGCACCTCAAAAGGAACATGCATGCCATGTTTGGTTTCATTCCATTCAATGGTTCTCTAAAAGAAAACATTTGTACGTATTTCTCATAGGGTCCTATGTTAAACTAAGTCCTCCGCTGGCGGCCATCTTAGATTATGGATCGGCTTCATAGTAACAACACTTGGTCAGCACCTCATAAGGAACATTCATGCCATGTTTGGTTTCATTCCATTCAGTGGTTCTCTGAAAGAAGACATTTGTATGTATTTCCCATAGGGTCCCATGTTAAACTAAGTCCCCCGCTGGCGGCCATCTTGGATTATGGATCAGCTTCAAAGTAACAACACTCGGTCAGCACCTCATAAGGAACATTCATACCATGTTTGGTTTCATTCCATTCAGTGGTTCTCTAAAAGAAGACATTTGTATGTATTTCCCTTAGGGTCCCATGTTAAACTAAGTCCCCTGCTGGCGGCCATCTTGGATTATGGATCAGCTTCATAGTAACAACACTTGGTCAGCACCTCATAAGGAACATTCATGCCATGTTTGGTTTCATTCCATTTAGTGGTTCTCTAAAAGAAGACATTTGTATGTATTTCCCATAGGGTCCTATGTTAAACTAAGTCCCCTGCAGGCGGCCATCTTGGATTATGGATTGGCTTCAAAGTAACAACACTAGGTCAGCACCTCATAAGAAACATTCATGCCATGTTTGGTTTCATTCCATTCTGTGGTTCTCTAAAAGAAGACATTTGTATGTATTTCCCATAGGGTCCAATGTTAAACTAAGTACCCTGCTGGCGGCCATCTTGGATTATGGATCAGCTTCATAGTAACAACACTTGGTCAGCACCTCATAAGGAACATTCATGCCATGTTTGGTTTCATTCCATTCAGTGGTTCTCTAAAAGAAGACATTTGTATGTATTTCCCTTAGGGTCCCATGTTAAACTAAGTCCCCCGCTGGCGGCCATCTTGGATTATGGATCGGCTTCAAAGTAACAACACTCGGTCAACACCTCATAAGGAACATTCATACCATGTTTGGTTTCATTCCATTCAGTGGTTCTCTAGAAGAAGTTCAAAATGTAAAAAATTAACGCCGACGACGGACGACGGATGCCAAGTGATGAGAAAAGCTCACTTGGCCCTTCGGGCCAGGTGAGCTAAAAATAAATGTGGAATGTGTCCATGGGACACAGATGATACCCCGCTTGCATATAACGTTATAAAGGGACATAACTCAAGAACTGTAAAAGTGACACTACCCAAATTTGTACTTGATCTCAGTTTTGTGGTAATAAGCATTGTGTATAAGTTTCATAACATTTGGTTGAGGCAAACTAAAGTAAGAGAACAGAGACGAAAAATTCAGCAATTTTTCCATTTGTAAAGGGGCATAACTCTAGAACGGTAAAAGTGACGCAACCCAAATTCAAACTTGACCTGGGTGTTGTGGTAATAAGCATTGTGTATAAGTTTCATATCATTTGGTTGAGGCAAACTAAAGTTAGAGAACGGAAACCAATTTCGGGACTTATGGACGGACGGACGGACGAACAAGGGTAAAACTTAATGCCCTCTCCGCTACGTATTCTTTCATATCATCAATAAGGATTCAAATTTGTCTTTCAATGGATTTTAACATTTGATCATCTGTAAACTACTGTTATCGCTAATTGGAATAGAAAGTCATACATGTTTTCGTACACTACAAATAAGATTTTTAAATTGTCCTTCTTATGCAATAAGCAAACATCCAGGAATATGTTTTGTAGTTATACTGTATCAGTGCTTTTTGAAAATTCAATGCATTAACTATGAAGTTTTGTGATATAGAATGAAAGATCATGTAAAGCCTAAATTGAAGTTAACCATTTGAGTTTGACGCATCTCATTCATGCCCTAGAAATCGAACAGAATTCAGATATTCATTCTAAAGTTCAGAAAAAAACAATATATAGGAACAATCATGAATATCCTCTTATAATTTAATGCATTTTTCTTTCTTTTATAATTGTCATGACACAGAACAGGCGAGTACAGCCTCTAATGCTCATACAAAATAAACCTTTTAATAATAAAACTTATATATATGAAACAGAACAGAAATCATAACAAATTTAAATCTCATCCAAATGAATAATTATTGATGGGCTACTTGATTGTTGTTTGCTTAAAGATCAATGGTAAGTATCCATGACAAGAATATAGTATTTGAATCTTTCATCATCATTTAATTGATTTTATTTCACTATGGATGAGAGAGATATAGACAAAGAGAGACAGAGAGATTGGTATAAATATTGATTTAAACAACAATCTGTTAACACATTTATTTACAGGTTTTACCTACAAAATCTCAGCTTGGAGAAGAAAAACATGAGATGTATATTTATGAAAACACAGGACAAGTGATAAAATATACATAAAACTTTATGGAAATCTTAACATTTACAAAGTATGTAAACATATACAATGTATGTTAACATTAACATTTGATATAGGTATGGGGTATAATTCCATAAGAGGGTCAGATGTGGGATAGATGTCCATAGCACAGTCACTTAACAAGAACAATAAAATTATCAACAAAAGACCCCATGAAATACATTCCACACTAAATTCTAAAATGTTCAATGATGTATATAAACTGGAAGGATGATCTAAACTCATTAAATTCCCAATTAATAAGCTGTGGCATCTAAAGTCCACATAAACATATTGAAACCTCACAAGTTGTCTGATAAAATTTGCCAATTAAAGTGGTTATTGAATAGAGAATAGAGACATTAAATGTTATTTTTAAATTGCTCAGACGTTTTTAGGCAGAGAAATATGAATATTCTTCATAGGATTTACCATGTTAACCTGACATTTAATCATCATGTGAAGTATATTATTTGATAATTCTTATATGATTTGCATATCTATAAATACTTGAAACGGATTGGTCAATTAGAATTTTTTACCTTGGTTTACACTTCGATAAACCATGTTTCCGAAACTTCTTTCGTACCATCTATTCATGCGCGATACACATGCATATGCAGGGAGTCCGGGATTTTCAGCAAAGTGAGATTGAAAAACAAAAACATAAGTTTTTTTTTCTATTTTAATGCATATGTAACCAAAAAAATATTGCATTAAAGCTTTGAAAATGCATAAAATTAAAATTCATGAAAAATTCCGCGAAATTTCATGAATGATTTAGCGCATTTACGTCATGGCAAAACACGACGTCATACAAATGAAAACTTTCAAGCGAAAGATTATTTCGTTACTTGTACGCTTCAAATTCGGATAATATCTCATTAAAATGCAGTTTTTGAGGTAGGTGCTATTTCATTTTAGATTCTGTTGCATTTATCGAATATTTACGGATTTTAGAAATTCAATATGGCGGCTAAATCCTTAGTTACGACATGTGCATTTGATGGTAGTAGCCATCAAACAAAAAATCCTAACTAAAAATCGCGAATGTTTGACTGAAGAATTATAAGGATTAAACACATTTTTTCTAGAGGTTATTGATGTGTAAACCGGGGCTCTTACTCACAAACTTAACATAAAAGTCCTTCGGACTTTTATTCAGTTTGTGAGTTAATCGCCCCGGTTTACACATCAATAACCTCTAGAAAAAATGTGTTTAATCCTATAATATGAAAGAAAATCTAATTTAAGAGGAGGTAAAACTTTAATCATATTTTCTTTTAAAAACAAATTTTAACAGCACTCAAAAGTACTGATAAACCTCTGCCTTTGAGTTTTAAACAGTACTGAGATAGACAACAGTTCACGTTATTCTTTAACAAGTATCATCCTTTACTTATTTGACAATAAAGAATTAATTCAAAATTCCTGAAAACAAGTACAGCTTTTAAAATTATAAACTTTTTAAAAATTCATCATATATCTCATATCAATCATACACACACAATCTAATTTACGCACACCACTTGCGTTTATTCACACATTAAAATAATACATACAAACATATGTACACACCACACATAAACATACATACACACATGTATAAACTTCACCATAAACATACATACACTCATGTATAAAGGACACCATACACATACACCCAATCATTTATGCTGACAGTTCTATCTATTTCTGGTCATGTATGATTTAAAAGTGTCTGATTTCATAAATAAAACATAAGCTGCAGCTATACCAAGTCCAACTCCACCTCCTATCAATGACTTCCGGAGTCCACCTGCAAAAGAAAAATAATAATTAAGGTTAATTTCTATACCAAGTCTAACTCCACCACCTATTAATGACTCTTAAAGTCCACCTGGAAAAGAAAAATAATAATCAAGGTTAATTTCTATACCAAGTCTAACTCCACCACCTATTAACATGATTAATGACTCTTAGAGTCCACCTGGAAAAGAAAAATAATAATTAAGGTTAATTTCTATACCAAGTCTAACTCCACCACCTATTAACATGATTAATGACTCTTAGAGTCCACCTGGAAAAGAAAAATAATAATTAAGGTTAATTTCTATACCAAGTCTAACTCCACCACCTATTAATGACTCTTAGAGTCCACCTGGAAAAGAAAAATAATAATTAGATTAATTTCTATACCAAGTCATTGACTTCTTCATCTGGAATGCATCAAAACCAATGTTACAGTACACTCCGCCTACTCAAATATCAGCTAAACGAATATATTGGCTATTGTAATATTATTTCAAACACCAAACCCTTTCCTATATGTTACATGTTAATTTTAAAGGGGGAAACAAATGTTGGATATAAGAATACATCAGCAAACCTGATGGGAATATTCATGAAAATTCTGCCAAATTCATGTTCAATCAGATATTTTCAATGTTTTTTTTTTTCTGACAGGAAATAAAGTCAGAAGTTGTGCAATTACAATCTTGTGAACAGGAAAATGTTGTTTCTGCTTAATAAAAAGGACTATTTCTTAATAAAATTGGTGTCTTTATTCATTTTCTTCCTTTGTAATAAGATGGATGCCCTTACATTTCAAATGGATGCATTTTATTTATAAATACAAATGCAGTTTGTGACAGAAATTTTGATAAAACCTGTGTGTTCACAGAATCAGAAATATAATTTTAAACTAATGTACCTTCTTCTGAATAATTTATTGAAATATACATATAAATCCCTTCTAAACAGAGGAATCTTACTTTTACCAGATATAACTATGTAACATGTGCATGACCACATGTCATGGACACTTTTTCCCCTCTTTTACATTTTTTATGTGTAGCCTCAAGAACCATGACCTGAACAATAACAGAATCTTCAGAAAACTATGTAACATGTGTATGACCACGTCATGGACACTTTTTCCCTCTTTTACATTTTTTATGTGTAGCCTCAAGAACCATGACCTGAACAATAACAGAATCTTCAGAAAACTATGTAACATGTGCATGACCACATGTCATGGATACTTTTTCCCCTCTTTTACATTTTTTATGTGTAGCCTCAAGAACCATGACCTGAACAATGTGTAGCCTCAAGAACCATGACCTAAACAATGTGTAGCCTCAAGAACCATGACCTGAACAATAACAGAATCTTCAGAAAACTATGTAACATGTGCATGACCACGTCATGGACACTTTTTCCCCTCTTTTACATTTTTTATGTGTAGCCTCAAGAACCATGACCTGAACAATAACAGAATCTTCAGAAAACTATGTAACATGTGCATGACCACATGTCATGGACACTTTTTCCCCTCTTTTACATTTTTTATGTGTAGCCTCAAGAACCATGACCTGAACAATAACAGAATCTTCAGAAAACTTGATGTATTATTATTTCATCAATCATGATTATCTTCATTGATAATCAAACTATATTTCATTATTTAAATAAATGTGGATAGTGTCCACATGTGGACACAGATGATGCCCCCGCTTGCCTAGCATAATAGTTATAAAGGGACATAACTGAAGAACGGTAAAAGTGATGCTACCCAAGTTTGAACTTGATCTGAGTTTTGTGGTAATAAGCATTGTGTGAAAGTCTCATAACATTTGGTTGAGGCAAACTTAAGTAGAGAACAGAAACTAAAAATTCAGCAATTTTTCTATTTGTAAAAATGCATAACTCTAGAACGGTTGTGTATAAATTTTATAACATTTGGTTGAGACAAACTAAAGTTAGAGAATGGAAACGAAAAATTCAGCAATTTTTATGTTTATAAAGGGACATAACTCAAGAGTGGTAAAAGTGTTCTCACCAAATTTCGTACTTAATCTGTATTATGTAGTAATAAGCATTGTGTATAAGTTTCATAACATTTGGTTGAGGCAAACTAAAGTTAGAAAACGGAAACAAAAAATTGTACTTGATCTTAGTTTTGTGGTAATGAATATTGTGTATAGGTTTCATAATGTTTGGTTGGGGCAAACTTAAGTTACAGAATGGAAACTAAAAATTTTGCAATCTTTCGATTTATAAAGGGGCATAACTCAATAATGGTTAAAGTGACACTACCCAAATTCAACCTGATCTGTGTTTTATCAGTGGAAGTCAAAATTAAACATTGCATTGTATAAAGCATTGATTGTAGTTGATTCAACTATAATCATGGACAAAGGAAGATAACTCCAATTTTAAAAATTACTTGATATTTAGAAGAAAATAAAAATTTTGCAATTTTTCCATTTATAAAGGGGCATAACTCTAGAACGGTTAAAGTGACGCTACCAAAATTCAAACTTGATCTGTGTTTTGTGGTAATAAGCATTGTGTAAACATTTCATAACATTTGGTGGAGGCAAACTTAAGTTAGAGAACGGAAACTAAAACATTTTGCAATTTTTCCTTTTATAAAGGGGCATAACTCTAGAACGGTTAAAGTGACGCCACCAAAATTCAATCTTGATCTGTGTTTTGTGTAAATAAGCATTGTGTATAAGTTTCATAACATTTGGTTGAGGCAATTTCATGTTTGAGAACGGAAACCAATTTTGGGACGTACGTACATACAGACGGACAAGGGTAAAACTTAATGCCCCGACCGCTATGGCGGGGGCATAAAATGAAATATGTAACAAGTAAGATTTCAGTTTAGAGACTCTGCGACAAATGATAGTGAAAAAATAATTTGCTGAACTTCAGATATATAATAATTTTCCATAAAAATTTAAGCCTCTTTCCATAACATTTTTATTGAATGATAGAAGCAAATTAGTTTTTAATATATATATTAAATATCATTGAAGAAATAATTTATTTAACCATCAGGTTAATGAGACAAGCTGATAAAAATTACACAGTGTGAGAAAGGTTGTACTGTACTTTTGAGAAAGTTATTTAAAGCTTAAGTTACCTTTGTTGTTGACACATAAATAGACATGTATAAATATGGATATTACTTCATTTTTTAATCAAATAAAGACACAAACTATGGATGGTAGTTATTTATTCACATAAATAATCAGTAAATTTGATTTATTTTAATTAAAGGATTCAAAAGCAGAAAACAAATATGAGTATTATATAACCAGATGATCAATTTTTACACAAACATTGTGTTGTACCATAAAAAAATAAATGGGGAATGTGTCCATGGGACAGATGATGCCCCTGCTTGCATATCATATAAAGTTATGAAGGGACATAACTGAAGAACGATAAAAGTGACGCTATCCAAATTTGTACTTGATCTGAGTTTTGTGGTAATAAGTATTGTGTATAAGTTTCATAAAATTTGGTTGAGGCAAACTTAAGTTAGAGAACGGAAGCGAAAAATTCAGCAATTTTTCCATTTGTAAAGGGGAATAACTCTAGAACAGTAAAAGTGACACCACCAAAATTCAAACTTGATCTGTATTTTGTGGTAATTAGCATTGTGTATAAGTTTTATAACATTTGGTTGAGGCAAACTTAAGTTAGAGAACGGAATCGAAAAATTCAGCAATTTTTCCATTTGTAAAGTGGCATAACTCTAGAACGGTTAGAGCGACGCCACCAAAATTCAAACTTGATCTGTGTTTTTTGGTAATAAGCATTGTGTATAAGTTTCATAACATTTGGTTGAGGCAAACTAAAGTTAGAGAACGAAAACCATTTTTGGGACGTATGTACGGACGGACAAGGGTAAAACTTAATGCCCCCTCCGCTACCGCAGGGGCATAAAAATCAAGAAAAAAATATCCTAACCTTTTTCTATAGCAGTGTTCAGGGCTAGTAACATTTCAGGATAAGGACAACTCATTTTTTGAATATTCATATATTTTCTAATTGAATATATAGGGTAATGAGATACTTTTTGGTGACATTTTGAGTATCCGATTTGCTGGCGTCTACTGTATTTTGATTCAAGTACCAGTATACATTTAAAATAAGGACAGTTTCTGGAATAGACAAAAGTTGCAAAATAATTCTATCATAGGTACCTTCTAAACAGGTTAACAAAAACTGGACATGTTCTTACCTGCAGATTTGTATAGAAGACCTGTGGCAGTTGCTGCTGTAATAGTATTGTATTCATCATCTTCACCCCGAGCTAACTGTAATCCCACGCCAAATAAACTGTACAACAAAGCTAGAAATAGAGAACACCTTAATCTTAATACTTAGCCACTGTAATCCCACGCCAAATAAACTGTACAACAAAGCTAGAAATAGAGAACACCTTAATCTTAATACATAGCCACTGTAATCCCATGCCAAATAAACTAATCCCATGTCAAATAAACTGTACAACTAAGCTAGAAATAGAGAACACCATAATCTTAATACATAGCCACTGTAATCCCACGCCAAATAAACTGTACAACAAAGCTAGAAATAGAGAACACCATAATCTTAATACATAGCCACTGTAATCCCATGCCAAATAAACTAATCCCATGTCAAATAAACTGTACAACTAAGCTAGAAATAGAGAACACCATAATCTTAATACATAGCCACTGTAATCCCACGCCAAATAAACTGTACAACAAAGCTAGAAATAGAGAACACCTTAATCTTAATACATAGCCACTGTAATCCCACGCCAAATAAACTGTACAACAAAGATAGAAATAGAGAACACCTTAATGTTAATACTTAGCCACTGTAATCCCACGCCAAATAAACTGTACAACAAAGCTAGAAATAGAGAACACCATAATCTTAATACTTAGCCACTGTAATCCCACGGCAAATAAACTGTACAACAAAGCTAGAAATAGAGATCACCTTAATGTTAATACTTAGAAAACTGTACAAATCGTGTACCGTGTGTGGGATTGACAGGGGTTCAACAATCTGCCCCTGGATATTTTGTCATGGTGCATAATAGTGTGTGACTACCATTACCATACAGTCTATTTTTCATATAATTACCAACTATGAACATTTTTTGTTTTTTTTTTCAGAAAAGAATGATCTATATAGGTGTAATACCACCATTGATTTTCCCCTATTAGTCTTTGTTAAATTTGCACTTTTCAAAAAATTGTGCAGAATTTATCTTTGTTTCAAATAAAGAAATACTTGGCATGAGTAAAGTTTTATCCTGTCCAGAACTATAGAAAAAATTTCACATAACATTTCATTGCATATAAGAAAATAACCATCACTGGAAGTTAACCAATCAAATTTTCCCCCTTTTTTAACCTGTGTACAAGCTTTAGTAACCATGTAACCTCAAGTTTCCAAAATATTCTAATGAAACCCCAAATGAAGAAATAATGGTGCTTTGAAATACCCAAGATATATGTTTATGACTCAGAAATGTTTTACTGCAATGAAATGTAGGATCAATTACCTACAACTGTCAAATTCAAGGGAATATTTTTTTCGACCTATTCTCGTATGCAACCGGATGTGACGTACTATGATTTGGTGGTATTACACCTATAGCATTCATAACATGAAATTCCCCATAGGTAAAAAATCGGGTGTTCTGATTTGAACACATCAGATTGTAAGTAAATTGTGTTGATAAATGGTAAAAGAATGTTTTAAAAATTCTTCTTCTTTATTGCTGTAAATGATGCATGATTGTGGAACACCCCTTAACAAACAAAATATCACCAAATATATAACAAGCTGTACAAATGACAGCAAACGAAGTGTTTTTTTATTACATTCAATAGTGTCATTGTTAAAGCACTTAATGGCCATACTCTTTAACAGCAAAACTGAAAGAAGTTAAAAAAAATGACTTCCGTTTTGTGAATCAAAATTTGAAAAGTATTTATTTCAAGTTCTCAACTTATTTCCCATAAACAAAATGCAGTGCCCTCACCCAATCAATATATAAGTGAAAATTGTCAATATTTATATTGCCATACATTTCGCCATCAGTAACAACAGTTCAACATTTGACAAGTATTGGATGAAAGGTTCTGAACTAATTGCACAGAAATGGCATAACGTGTCGTTTTCTAATCAATAAAGAACCATAACTCTTGAAAGGGAAACAAGAAAATCGCAATGTCCAAACTGACCTCCATTTAGTCATCACAGTAACTACATATTCAAATTTTAAAAACATTGATTGAATCGGTCATAAGAGTTATTACACAGAAACTGTTGGATGCTGCAACTCTTTTCCCAAAAAATCTTACGAATTAAAATTGATCGTTATACTGAAATGTGAATGACTTACCAGTATTTTTAATCAAGATTTTTTTGTGAATAAGAGTAGTTGGATCTTAAAATGTCAGAGAATAATTCATCTGTAATGAATTTTAGGAAAAACTTCTTACCAAATTCCTCTGTAGGAGGGTCAAACAAAAACATACATTTTATGTCTAACAAAATTTCTAGGTATGTTTCAGAAAATAACTTAACACCTTGCCAATTAGCTGATTATAAGATGAGCAAGTTGCTGATTATGGGGTGAGGCTACATACATACATATGTCTCAATTAGTGTAATAAATTGACCCAGAGTGACTTTGCTCATTCCAGGGTAAGACAATAAACCTACCTATTACTCCCACTGACTGTGCCGATGCAGCTCCTCTTTTACCTATAAAATTTAACATCCTGTAAAATAAATAGTAGCAATAAATATATGCTGTGAGCGAGCCAATCAGACTTCATTCCAAAAAGTTTTATATCTATATAGCTATGATACATGGAAATTATTACATTTAATTATTTTTTTATGAACATTTTGTTCAAAGTAGTTTTAAGAAGCTCTCTTTTCAAGTCTTGAAAGGGAAATACATGTTTTCTGGAGCAGCAGCACTATCAACCAACAACTGTGTCTACCTTAGCTAGCTATATATATAGCTTCCTGTCAAGACTTTCTGGACCAATTGTTTTTCGTAGTTGTCTGGATTTTGTTTGTGCATCTAATTTTTTTTATTGAGGAAATGGAGTTGATACATGTGTGTGATCTGTTGTAATGTACAAATGTTTTTGGCTATTCCTGGTATCCTTTTATGTATTATGTGACTTGGTAAAATATCTCTGTGTATAGTATTGTGGAGATATTCTGGCTCAATTTTGTACTTTAATTTGAAGTTAAGTAAACTGTTCGTAAATATGGACAACTAAGACTGAATTGTCTCCCTTGGTATATATTTTGAAGAAAACAATTGTGGGTAATCAACTTTGATATCAATACACATCTTGTGCTGAATTTTATATTATCACTTCTACATTCATAAGACATTAATAAAATACTATCACAATTTCTTATCCAATCATAAAGTATAATACTTTATAACTTTTGTATTTAATTGAAACCTGATCAGTTAGGTTCACTTCAACTTAAACTAGCAAGCTATAGAAGGCCTCAAAATGACAAAATGTAAATAAAACTGAACATCTGAACAATAATGTATCACAAATTTGGCTCTCTTCATGTCTTAGGGGTGTTAATATTCCAGGAATAAATTAAAAGTAAAAGGAGGTGGGGGCATGGGTGGGGGGGTCAGAAGTTACATAACATTGCAAAGCATAAAACCTAAGTTGATTGATTCCTATAATTGTGCAAGCTATCTTTTTATATAATGAACATCCACCAAACTTCAATGGAAGTGTCTTCCGCCGACCCACCGTGAGATTGGTATTGCTCATGATCAATCTTTAGCTTTCTGTTTTGTGTACTGAGGACTGTCTTTCCTTTTCAACCTTTTTCTTATAGCCATGGTGGTCTGTTTGTCTTCCACTCATTGTTTTTATTTGCTCCTTTGTATGATATATCCTATGGGGCTGATGTGAAAAGATAAAATATCTTTTTATTTTACACCGCTATGCAAAAAATTTTCATTGAATATTTCCTATAATTGTTCAGATCATCTTTCAAAATAATAACCAACCATCAAATTTTAATAGAAGTGCCTTCCTACCCCCTCCCTCCATGAGGTTGATAATTTTAGTGTTCTGTAGACTGTCTTTCTTACTCAACCTTATTCTAGCCATATGGTGGTATGTTTTTCTTCCATTTATGATTTCCGGTTGCTCCTTTTTATGATTTACCCTATGGGGCTGATGTGAAAAGATAAAATATCTGTTAAAACACTATAAAGGACATGTCAGTGCCAATATAAACCCTTACTGTGTTCTCTTTACAGCGGTTGACATGTCTGTAGCTCCTTTAATCTCTCTGTAACCAGTATAAATACCATTCATTCCACCCGCTGCTGCACCTGATAATTATACAGGAATTATACAGGTATGTATATTCAATTATTTATCAAATAAATGTAAATACAATTACCGGTAATGTATATGTATACATTTGTTCTTTGATAAATTTTGCTATATAAGTTTATTCCAAATTTTTTAGACTCCAGGAAATTAAGAGCTTAAAAAATTGTAGACATTTGTCATGTTTGTCGTATGTAGTTTGTATTTTGATCTTTGATTTTTGTGTTTGTAGGGTTGCTGTTTGATATATAACCCAAATCATATTTTATTTAATTCCAAACATGTTTGATATATCAATCTCCTTTAATTCAAATTTAAATTCAACATTTTTATTACATAAATTATGACATGTACGACCGGAAAACTTAACAGCACATCTGTAAATAACATGAATAAGATAATAGGTTCTTTTCTTAAGTTTTTTTCTTCAATCTCTTTGAGATGTCATTTACCAGATGGTGTTGCTGGCGATAAGAAAAATATGTGTTTTGACTGAGGACATATTTTGGACTCGGCCTTTATACCTAAATCTATTCAATACATACTATTAAGGAAAATCAGAATCAGGGACAAGTAAAAACAAGAAATAAAACCTTTTATAATGAGTGAGAAATTCATGACAAAAAACTATACACTTTTTTAAAGCAATTTCTGAACCATGAAAATTAGGTAGGAAATCTTCTTATCTTTACATAGAAGATGACAAATGACAGACAGAAACTTTGTAACATAAGGCATCTGTATAGAAGGTATGAAGCATTCAGGTCTTCTACCTTCTGAAATATACAGCTTAATACACATAGTTTACTATGTTGCCGCTAAATTGACACTCTTATCTCTTTCATTCTATGACATTCCACCCAGTAAGACAAAAATGATGATTCATTAATCTTTAAATTTTCCTGTAATGATAATATATAAATTTCTAAAGATCCGCATAAAATGTAAAATCTGCAAATTTGCACAAGCAAATTTTTGTTCTTCACTTGCCTTGATTTGATCTAATGCTATTGAGATATCGAGATAAGACCGCCTGCGCTGTGTCCATCGCTCTAGACCACTCGGCCACCAAGACTGAACTAAAAATGCAGCTTTCGGTGGCCTAGTTTTACCTTTCTTCGTCAGTAGAATCTTGAGTCGAAACACAGTACATGTTATAGTAGGCATGAAGATGGAATTGATTGTAGATTAGCGAAATTATCTTTCGTAAAGAATCGTAAGATGCAGTCACAAAAATAATTATTTGATTAGTACGTCTAAACAAGTGACAACTTTACATCGGATTCATCCATTGGATCACCAGTGAATGTGATAAACGGCTGAAACACATATTATATTCATAATTACTCTAAATATCAGCACAACAATGTTATTTCTGCAGATTTGCGCAAGCAAATTTTTGTTTTTTTCTTCGCCGGGATTCGAACTCATGCTATTGAGATATCGAGACAACACCGCCTGCACTGTGTCCAGCGCTGTAGACCACTCGGCAACCTAGAATGTACTAAACATTAAGCTTTCGGTGGGCTAGTGTTACCTTTCCTCGTCGGTAGAATCTAGAGTTGTAACACAGTATATGATATATTAGGCATGAAGATGGAATTGGTTGCAGATTAAGTAAATTATATATCGTAAAGGATCCTAAGATGCAGTCACAGAAATAAGAATAGTTCTGTGTTGGTCGTCTATTTAGATGCAAACCAGAGGGAACACTGATTGTTTTGTGTTTGTTGGAATTTATTTTAAACTCAATATCGTTTGCCTTTGAGATATTGATTAAAGAGATTGGCCATCGTGTCTGACCAAGTCTAAAACTGGCGTTTTACTTGTTTTTGATATAATGAGTGAGATAAAAACAGATGGTAACCAGGTTCGTACGGTATACTAGAAATAATATGGACTAATACATCAATAATTAATGTGCGTTTGCACGATGAGAATTTAGTAAATGAGCTAATTTACTGAATTCTTTTTCGCTTATAGAATTAATTAAAAAAGTAACATCTAAAATTTATATAGTGTCTACTGCTTGTATCTTGGTCATGTGTCGTGTACAACACATCTATTCGCAGGATAACAACTAACCGGAACAAGCAAATAAAACAAACAAGACATTGTTGGACAAAGACGAACAATAACAAAATAGTACGCTTTAAAAAAACCTAATGATTGAGCAAAACGATCAAAAACAAATCCCAGTTGGGAAAGAGGGAGGGGGCTCAAGTGCCTTAGACAGGTAAACAGTTACTAATCCACTTACAGAAGCCATATACTAGTATGTTCCCCTTGCAACTAAAATTCCAGTAAATCATCGCATTCGGTTCAGTCACAATGGAGGAAAGCTTTGAGAGATTGTGTTACGACATAGTCATCTAATATTATGTCCAACGACAAAGATAAATTATGCGTTTCACTATTCTATTTATATTTAATACTTAAAATGGTAAAATGGTGGTGGGGTAAGAAATATCATTTAATATAAAACGGTTTATGTAACATATTACTTTGTTGATACAACGTCATCAAAGATACCAGTCTTGTTGTTAATAAGAATATACAGATAATAACATCAATGATACCAATGTTAATGCACCAGATGTGAATTTCGACAATTAATGTATTTTCTGTGATGCCCGAGGCAAAATTTTTGAAATCCAAAATCTATAACAAATGTTGAGGAGCAGAGATAAGATGCTGATAATAATGTAAAATGTTTGAAAGTATTAAAATAGCTGTAACCTAGTATATTTAACTGTTATGTTTATGCAAAGTACCACTCATACAAGTCAGCTGCACAAGGCAGCGACTTCATATTTCATGAGGGAGGGGCACGGTTTTAGTTTATCTTGACAAACTATATTTTTCAATAACGTATAGGCAAAAGTTTTTGCCTAACAAGATATTAAATCTTTTGGTGTTAAAGGCTGATCTTATAAAGTCCTTGTAGTCTGCCAATTTTTTTTTCCAGATTTCGGGTGACTTAGCGCTTAAAAATTGTAAAATATCTAGATATGAAAACCTGTGGTTTAAAAAAAATGTGTTGTCGATATCAAGGACACGTATGAGAAGCATACAAATTCCTTATCATTTAAAATAGTGCGGATGCGTTACCCTCCCCTAACGATATACATGTTCCAGCAGACAAAACCTCAAGCAATATTGTTTAATTATCAAATTTCATTATTTGGTATACCTTACAATAGAACATTAAAACTATCGAATTCACTGCATCTCTGGAGGAACCCTAACAATGTCGACACAACCGACCCCCCTTTTTTCAACTTCTCTTGTCAATCCCTATTTTGTTATTCCCCATGTTTGATCTCAATGGATTAATGAGATTTGATAATCGCTGATCTTCTGTGATCTCTATTGTTTTAAAACGCTGAAGATTTACAGCGTTTATGTAGATTAATACAAAATACGACTGTTGTTCATCGAGATTTAAAGTATCATCTAGGCCCACTCATTTACAGTATCATCTAGGCCCACTCATTTAAGTATCATCTAGGCCCACTCATTTAAGTATCATCTAGGCCCATTCATTTAAGTATCATCTAGGCCCACTCATTCAAAGTATCATCTAGGCCCACTCATTTAAAGTATCATATAGGCCCACTCATTTAATGTATCATCTAGGTCCACTCATTTAAGTATAATCTAGGCCCACTCATTTAAAGTATCATCTAGGCCCACTCATTTAAAGTATCATCTAGGCCCACTCATTCAAAGTATCATCTAGGCCCACTCATTTAAAGTATCATCTAGGCCCACTCATTTAAGTATCATCTAGGCCCACTCATTTAAAGTATCATCTAGGCCCACTCATTTAAAGTATCATCTAGGCCTACTCATTTAAAGTATCATCTAGGCCCACTCATTTGAGTATCATCTAGGCCCACTCATTTAAAGTATCATCTAGGCCCACTCATTTACAGTATCATCTAGGCCCACTCATTTAAGTATCATCTAGGCCCACTCATTTAAAGTATCATCTAGGCCCACTCATTGAAGTATCATCTAGGCCCACTCATTTAAAGTATCATCTAGGCCCACTCATTTAAGTATCATCTAGGCCCACTCATTTAAGTATCATCTAGGCCCACTCATTTAAAGTATCATCTAGGCCCACTCATTTAAGTATCATCTAGGCCCACTCATTTAAAGTATCATCCAGGCCCACTCATTTAAGTATCATCTAGGCCCACTCATTTAAGTATCATCTAGGCCCACTCATTTAAAGTATCATCTAGGCCCACTCATTTAAACTATCATCTAGGCCCACTCATTTAAAGTGTCATCTAGGCCCACTCGTTTAAGGGGAATCATGAGGTATATATATGCCCTTAGATAAAATTATCTACATAAGGGAATGCCTGTACCAAGGCAGGAATATGGCAATTGTTTTCAATTCGTTTGATGTGTTTGAGCTCTAGATTTTTCCATTTATTAAGATCTTTCCGTTTTGAATTTTCCTTGGGGTTCGGTATTTTTGAGATGTTGCCAAAATATAGATTTTACTAAGCTTGTTCAAAAATATAATAGAAATATGGGTCACAGTGCTATTTTTCAAACTTAAAGTCGTGATGATTCACGAATGAACACTTTTTTGGGAGTACACAAATATCTGTGAGATAGAATTTTGGAATAGAATATGAGAAGATAGGTTTTATACCATGCTTTACGAAAACATGAAGACAAAATTGTGTCACCGAACTTGTTTTCTTGCTACAAATGAAAAATGAGAAATTCTTTAACATTTCAGTATAAAAACTTTTACTATTACAGTTATCTCCCTTTAAAGTAGAATGGGTGTCTTTCGCCATCTTGAATTGTAAAATAGCAGAGCACAATAGGTTCAGATTTTCAACCAAGTCAGCAAATTTTGATGCAGGAATGCAATTTTAAACTAATGTGAATTTTGATTTATATGAACAAATTTATAATATTTTAACTTATATTCATAAAATTTTACAAACGTAGAATATTTTTGCTTGATTTTCAATG